GTCCCACTCGGAGAGAAGTGAATGAGACCCCGACTAACAGTTGGGCGAGGCTTTTATACCCTTCACAGGGCGGGAAGTCCCCAAGGCGGGAGGGAGCTGTTTAATTTTGAATCAGCCAATCAGGAGCCCGGTTCTTCCCGCCCCAAGCAAGCAAGCAAGTTTCTTACAGAAGCCAAAATGTGCTGTTAGCCCTGAAGCTGTTCTTCCGTTTCGTCACACAGCATCCCTGTGGCCAGTAAGAAGTCTGATATGTGACTAATTCAGTCCTTTTTAGTTTAACTTATTTTTTTAATTCAAGAAACATAGAATTTAAATTTTTGAAGTTTTGCCATGTCTAGATACATTCATTCTGTTACTTAGTACTAATTGGGTCCTTTTAATCTTTCCTTAGATCTGGGAACTTTTCTTCCATCACATCTCTACTCTCTTCCCTTCCCTTTTTACTTTTCTCTTTCTAGATCTGCTATTAGACAAATATTAGGTCCAGTGGATGTGGCTTCCATATTTCTTAACATGTCTTTCATATGTTTGTTTCATCCTGCCTTGTGCTTTTCAGCCCACCTACTGAGTGTTTTTATTTCAACAACCAGATTTTATTTTAACTTTATTTGTATTTTGAAAAAACTTCAAACTTCCAGAAAAGTTGCAAAAATAGTATAAAGAATGCCGTTTACCCTTCATCCAGATTCATAAACTTACATTTTGTCACAATTGCTTTGTCATTCTGTGTGTATTCAAGAATTACAAAGGCTCATCTTGGAATGTCTGTGTACAAACACATACATACACATACTTTTTTCTGAACTAGTTGGAGTAAATTACAGAGCTCAGGCCCCTTTATCCCTGAATACTTCAGGTAGTTAATATAACCAATTATGTACAATTTTCAAAATCAGGAAAGTTAACATACCATAACAATTATCAGCAATACTATAGTCTGAAGACCTTATTCAAGTTTTGCTAGTTGTTCCAGTAAAGTCCTTGAGCACATTTTCCTGGTCCAGAGTCTGCCTAGAATCTCGCATTGCATTTAGGTGTCCTGTCTCCTTATTCTCCTTTAATCTGAAACAGTTCTCCAGCTTTGTCTCTTTTGATACCAACATTTTCTAGAGTAAAGGCCAGTGATTTTGTGGACATGATGTTTGTGTCCTCAGGGCATCCCACCAGGAGGCCACAGCAGGCAGTGTGTCTCATTACTGATGGTGTCATTGTCGATTGTTTGTTTAAGGTGATACTCACCTAGTTTCCCTACTGTGAAGTTACTGTTTTCCCTTTGTAATTAGTTTGTTACCAGAGATACTTTGAGACTGTTTTAGCATCCATTGATAACTTCTACCTGAATCAGTGGTTACAAAGTGGTGATTTTCTGATTCCGTTATTACATTTACATTTATTAATTGGCATTCTGCTACAAGGAATAAGTCTTCTGTTCTCGTTTATTTTTTATTATCAGTATGGGCTCTTATTCAATAAGTTATAGTCTGTTAGGTCATTTTTTTGGTTTGATGCTCAAATTGACCTAGACTTGGCTACTGGGAGTTCATCAAGGTGGCGCCTGAGTCCTTTTGACACATGCCCATCATTTTTGAGCACTTCTTACTTTGGGGTACATGAAGATGTTCCAAGCTCATCTGGTACTTTCCTTGCCCCTGCCATTGAGTCGGCCATTTCTCCAAGGCACTTTGGTTCCTCTTCGGGAGGATGATATTTGGAAACCAGGATCTGGGTGGCAAATAATCAATTTACATGTCCAGTTTCCTGTATTTTTCCTAGAGATTTATATATTCCAAAGTTTTCAGTTTGTTCAGTTTGGAACCTCTTGTCCATGAGGCTAGTTTTCCACAAATGTTTAGCAGTTTGGAGTAGTTGCTCATCTGTGTATTCGTCAACCCCTGCTCACCCCAATTCTGTGTTCCTCAGCTTCCTGTTTTTATCAAGGAGTGATGGGACTAGCTGTTAGAGCAAAAGTAAGTAATCCTTTCCTCTCTTCTTACCTACTCAAGAGGATTCAGGCTTTCCTCACTCTGTTTGTTTACCTTTCCCCTTCCCCAGAAAAGAGTTTTGTCATTGTTGGGCCAGGTTTGGTGGAACTTTCTTGATGAAGGAGGATAGAGGAATGGTGCTTAGGCTAGAGCTGGGAGAGGAGTTTGTGATGTTTTGGAGAGAAACATCCTGGGAGACCAGAGGAGCTTCAGAGTATGAGAGGAAAGGGGAGTTTTGAGAAGCATTTTTTATAGACCATATATCCTCTTCACGGTGTTTCTGAAATAAGGAGTTATTTTGACATGTACTAGTTTGTGGAGGCACAGCTCTAGATTCACTCCTGGGAGTCTTGATTGTGATAAGGTTACATGTGTCTTCTGGGTGTGGGAGGTTCTTACCTCCAAGTGTCAGTAGCTGCCCTGTAACTGAGAGCTCGGGATTGACGGGCACCACTCTAGCTCAAAACAGAGGCCACTGCTGCCTGCTGCTTAGCTCAGACAAGGGGCAGCTGGGACTGGCTGCCCACTGCCTTGACTGCCTCTCCTCCACGGACCCCTCCGGGTGTGTTAGGGGCTGAGTTTGAGTTTGAGCTCCCCTGAAATCACTCCCATCTCCCAAATGTTTTGAGTTATGATTTCCTATTGCTGTTTCATCTTCTACTGGCTCCCTTCTACTTCCTTTTTTTTTTCAGGAATTACTAAAATTTCCTGACCTGCTTATGGTACTCTTTGTTGTTTTTCAATGATATTTTGGAGTATTTTTGTGTGTTTTTTTTTTCCACTGGGTTTGGGAAAGTCTGATACCACTCTGTGCTCATCATTGTCTTGTTCTGGCTGCCTGGGTAACGGGGGGTCTACTTGGGGGCGCACTCAAACAGATTCTCCACCCAGAGATATTAATGGCGATAAGAAATCTATCAAATGAACTTCAGAATTCTTGTTAATCTGGGGTCCTAGTTATTGAAGTGTTTAAACAGAAAATTTACACTTAAACTTGATATTAAGGTTTTGTAAAATTTGCAGTGAAAGCACCCTATTTAAAGGAACCGTTGTCTCTCTAGTTCTCACCCCAGAAGATTCTGGAGTGACTTATCCATGCTGCTGGCCAGTTAGCACTTTCATTTATAACCTCCCTATTGAATAGCACTAGCCATATGAGGGTTGCAAGACATGTGCCCCTTATAGAGGAGATCAATTCACTCTGCTTATTATATGCAGTAAATTCCAGATGAAAGTCTTAAATGCTAAGACTATATTTACCCGCATGTTTCCATTTAGTCATCAGCACAGCCTGACCAGTAATAGCAGGACTGAGCAGAAAGAAGACACAGCGTTGTCTTTCTAGCAGCAAGGGTGACCTGGTACTGGCTTTCCAACCTTTGGTCAGGAGTGGCCCAGATACATCACGCCTTGGGTCAGGATTGGTCTTGTAGCTGAGCTGTACCGGGCAGGATGCCCTGGCCAGAGGGAAGGGCAGGTAGGCAAGAGCCAAACCTGTGGTCAAGAAAATAAAATACCAGGATACTTAGAGCTGTTAGACTAACCACCTCATACTACAGATGGAGACGTTCAAGAGAGGTCGTGATTTACCCCAAGGTCAAACCATCAGTGGCAGAGTGCCCTGGCATATTGTTCCTTTTAACACGAATATTTTAGCACCTCAAGCACACCAAGCTTAGTGGTAAATAAATTCTAAGGGACAATTCTTTAAATCCATGAGCCCAGGGAAACAATGAGAAGGGTTGGGAACCCTGACAACCAACTCTGTCCTTTTTCGTCACCCAGACCAATCTGATTTTCGTATGGAGAGAGGTATATTCAACAAATACTGAATACCTACTACCAAAATAAAAATGTTTCCTGACAAGTAGATGACTGCTTTCTCAAGCCTGTTTGCGTCAGGACCTGTAATTTTTTGAAAACCATATATTGGTATTGTAGGAATAACCACAACTGTAGCTGTACTGTCTAATCCAGTATTCTTATGGATACTGTGGAAGCCTCTGAGTGTTTTATGTAGGATTAACTGGAATTGTGAAGTCACATATGGCCTGGAGTAATGAAAATCACATACCAAATAGTTTGATTTTGTCCCAAATTTCTACCTACTTTACCAAATCCTTTTGCTCGCCATCCTGGTTTGCTCTGCAAACCAGGCAGAGATCTGAAGCACTTCACTTTATTCCAGAGTGGATAATTGTTGAGGGAGATTTTTACAGTCTTCCTTCTCTTCCCTCAGCTCCCTTCCTGGTTAGAAATGCTAATAAGAACTAGGGTGGTCATAAGCTATTGGAGGAAGCAAAAAAGGTGAAGGCTATACACATTTTAGTTCGTGTTTGGCATGTCTTGGCCTTCACCCTGCATGAGGCAAGGAGAAAAAGAAGTAAAATTGAAGTTACAGATAAATTCAAGGAAGGACTGAAACTAAGGAAAAGATACTAAGTTTGTTTCGCTTGGTTAGCTCAACCAGGTCTTTGTCTCCATTTTTGACTGGCAGATACCAAAACAGGTTGGTTTTCTCCTACTGCCCTGCAGTGCGTGGAGACTGGCTTCCAGTATTGGCCAAAATGTCACTTCCATTTAAACATATTCTTTCTAGGAAAGAAAGATTTTCTAGCATAAGATGAAGGAGAAGAGGAAGCAGGAGAAAGGTTTAAAGTGTTACATGGGAGTTTCCAACCACAGGAGGAGCAAAACACCAAAGAAGCTATAGAACACAGGGTGCGGCCAAGAGCTGGAATCCAAGCCATGCCGCCTCGGAAGGCACGCCAGCCCAAGGTTCACATGTCCCCGGAACAAGTCCTGCATGGAGAGAAGCATTCCAGTCCTTCTTATCGTTAAGAAACAGCCAGACCCAGTGCGTCTAGAGGGAGGTCACAAATACCACGTTGTCTTTGCAGAAGGTTTCCAGGGAAGAGCTAGACCAACTGCATGGTCTCCAGACCAACCCTGGCCTGAGCCCCAGGCCAAGGTGAGCTGGATAAGTCCACAATGTCTGGTCAGAGCTGTACCTGGTACTCAGGTCTTGAATATCAGGAAGCCCCCGAATGCTGTGCCTGGAGGGCTTCTCTTCATTATTGATCCCTGGGTTAGCTCAAACCATACTCTCTCACCCTTTTGCAGCTCAGCCATGGCAAAGGTCGTTGCTGGGCTCCCACCCCTCTGCTCCTCGGTGGTATAGACAGGGGTCCGACGGTGACCTCCAAACACCAGCTGCCCTGTGCCTGGCCCTGGGCCGAATTCAATGCTCACTGCAAATAGATAGACCCCACGCTCAGAGGCTCGAAAATAGCCATGTTCAGGGAGGTAGCTGCTGCCGATGTTGATGTAAGTAGTGTTGAACTTCACTGTCTGCAGAGCATCTGTCCCTTCTGAAAAGCTGGCGTAGAAGGCCACAGGGGAGCCTGGAATGCAGGAGGAAAGTGTTAGTGGCTCAGCACCTCACTCCCTCGGGTGGAAAATTATACCTGCCTTCCTCGCCTTCTTAACATTAGAAATAGGTCCCATTTCTAGATAACCCAGATATTGCTGATAGCAATGTATCTTGGGAGCTAACTGGCCAATTCTCAATATTTCACTAGTTGAGAGAAAGGAAAATACAAGTCTGTTGTCTCTACTGGTGTACATTTTAACAAAGCACTTTCTTGTTTGATCCTTCTTTCCAACATCCTTGAGAGATAAGTACCCTGATTGAGGAGACTTTGAGTCTTGCATGGTTAACTTGCATCCAAGGCTAGATGGCTTATCAGTGGCAGGCTGGGACTGGAACCCAGGTCTCTGACTCCCAGATTCCTGCCACCTGCTAGGGATCTTGAGATACCAGGGGAAAGAGAGAAGATTACCTATCTGCAAAGTAGTAATGCTAACCCTGGTGAGATAATTAAGGAATGAAGGGTAGCTCCTACTGGATGTTTAGCACAGGACCCTAGAGAGAGAAGGAAAAAGCAGGTGGGACCAGGGAAGAAAAGTCTTTTCAAGCTGGTCATTTTAATGTTTTCAAAATGTTGCTCAGAGCCCTGGGATTACAGAGGGGGAAACAGGCCCAGAAAGGGAAAGCTTGCCCCAGACGACACACATGACCAAGCTGGGAGCTGTGGATCTCCTGACCTCTGGTACTCTTCCCACTTGAAGCACTTTAGCCAATCTAAGGAGGATGAAACAGAGAACACAGGTGAGCGGCCCGCCAGGCCCACGCACAGGCCTGGAGCGAGAGAAGACGCCTGGCCAGGAGATGGGATGGGAAGGCTGAGTCCTGCTGGGCTCCGGCCACGACCCTGGCCTCGGCACTGATGAGGTCATGTTCCTCACGTGCTCCCTCGTTGCTCCCTCAAGCTGTGGGCTCTCTGTGCACCCCTCACACACCCCTCTCTGTTGAGACCAAGCTCCCCACTTCTCAGGGGATGAAACCAAGGCCTAAAAGAGGAGCAATTTGCATAGCAGTGAGTGACCTAGGTCCCAGAACTAGAGCCCCCGCTCTTTGGCTCCCGGTCCAACAGCATCCTCATGAATGACAAAATTTTGCTTTTCTCTAGTTCTGGAAGATTTTCTGAGAATTAGTTCAGAATAGTTGGGATTCCCATCTGTGTGAGAAATACTGGCTCTGCAGTTACCCCAGCACCCAGGAGGTGGCGCGCTCACCCCGCCGAAGCAAGGTCGGCCTAGCGTGCCCTCTGTGGAGCGCCATGGCCAGCCAGTGGCCCGACGTGCTCCTTGGTGGAAGGGTTGTGCTTCACTGATTTGCCAGCAGGCGGACTGAGTGGTCTTCCCTGCAGGGCATGGAGTCAAGCCCTTTGGCCTTCCCATAAGACAAATAAGGGGGGATTTTTACTTTTAAGGAAAAAAAATTTTTTAAGTAACAATATTGCAGTGGTAAACCCAGATACCTAAACTATCAGGCAGTTGAGGCCTTGCACCACTCACAAGGGAGAAAAAGATGTAAGAGTGTTAGGCAGATACAGCCTCAGCCCTGAAAATGCTGGAGAAATGGGAAAACATTGACTGGTTTCTACTAAACGTTAAGCCTTGTGCTAGGTTTTTGGTAAATGTATCTGCTAGTCTTCATGACAACCCTTTGATGAAGGTAGTGGTTTTCCATTTTACAGAGGAAGAAATTGAGACACGTAAGTGGTGCTAGAGCCTGTGCTATGTGCACTGCTCCCAGGGAGACACTGGCCTGCAGGGCCATAGTGAGGAGTGAGTGGGAGCAGGGCAGGCTTGCGGTGGGATCCTCAGCAAGGCCTCAGACTGCCCACGTGCCAGGCTACACGAGGATATAGACGGCCCAGATGGCGGCCTTGTACTTTAGCCCCAGGTCTGGGTGAGGAGGCGGCCGTAGCTCCAAGGCCAGCCTCTCTGGGTAGGGTAGAGTCACTTGAGGCACAGAGCGTAGGGGTCCACTTTTCAGGGCCATACTCAGGGAGGGGCTGGGAAGGCTAGCTGCTCATCCCTTCAGCCTCAGAGGCAGCTTCCCAGGGCCCTGCAGGGGCCAGTCAAGGGCCTTTCACAGGCGAAGAGCCAGCTCCCTAGAGACAGCCAGACTGGGTTCCTCTGTGCCGCTTACTAGATGTGTGAGCAGGACAGTTGCCTGACTAACCCTGTTTCAGGTAAGATGGCAGCAGTGATAACGCGTCATTGAGCTGTTGTGATAATTCAACGTGGCAAAGCCCAAGAAAGGCATTGTGGGGGACCTGGCTCAGAGCAGCAGCATACGGGTCCACTATGTTAGCAGAACGAGCTCCTTTTGGGGCCCGTGGCTTTCCTCTATATTCACCTCTTGTGGGGTGCTGCCCATGGCAGAGGACACCAGGCCCTATCCACACACTCACTTGTATACAGGGGAAAGCTTAAAGAAACATGGGGGGTGAAGCGGGGTCAGGTGAAGAGCTGAGCTGGAGGGATTTGAGGGTGTCGTTATGGAGGAAAGAGAGGCATCCCCCCTCCCTGCTCTACAGTTAAGAGTGGTGGGCAACCACTGGTGTATGTATGAGCCTCAAGCATCTCCGTGCTGGGGCTCTGCCTGCGCGTTGACAGTTCAGTCATGTGACTTCTACCTCCTAATACTCCAGGTGGCTTAAGGGGCCCCTCCTTAGTCCTAAATAGAAGATGGGTTAAGGGCAAAGCCAGTCCTGAGTAGTGGTGACTGATGGCCATCCTGCTGTCTTTCACCCCGGCCCCCTCTGAGGCAGAAGCGCTGTTGGCAGAGAGCACAGTCTTAGACTCCCCCAGCCTCCTTCCCAGGCTGGGCAACTCACCTGCGTCCCAGAGCGCCGGCCCTTTGACATGCACATCCTCCAAAGACTCCACTTGCTTCTGTTCCCTCCTCCTGGGAGCTTCCAGACCTTTCTGCTGCTTCTTCCCTTTCCTGCTCAGTATGGCCTGCAGCTTCCCCAGGTCCAAGCTGACATTGGCTACCAAGAGTTCTTGAAAGTTCCCAAAGAGGCTGTGGAAGAGGCGCTGGTGCCGCTGCAAGCCGTGCTCGGTGGTGGAGAGCTCCCCGCGAAGGCCCTCGAGGGAGCTGTTGAAGGAGGAGGCCCAGGAAGCCTCGCAGCACTGGCCCACGCGCTCCATGTGGGAGCTCAGGCGCTGGAGCTCCTGTGCTAGCCCAGCCAGATCTGGCCCGCCGGCCGCCGCTGGCGATGCGTCCCGATTGGGCTCCAGGCGCTCGGCCTGCCCGCTGGTCCCCGAGGCCCGTTCCAGGGCTGTCACCCGGGCCGCCAGCGCGTCCCAGCCAAGGGCCTGCTCCTGCAGCCCGCTGGCCGCGTCCAGCAGGGCGGTGCGGATCTGCTCGTAGCGCAGGGGCAGCGGGCCGGGCGCCTCCTCGGACATGTCTTCCATCACCTCCTCCCCGAAGAAGGCGGCCAGCACGGCCTCGTGCCGCAGCGCGTCCTCCAGCAGGGCCGCGAAGGAGCCGTGCAGCCGGCGGATCTCGCGTCGCATCTCAGCCTCGGCGGCCCGCAGCGCACTCACCTCGCTGCCCAGCGTGCGCAGCTGACTCCGGAGCCGCGCCGCGTCGGCCCGCGCCCTCTCGGCCGCCGCCTGGTGCGCATCCACCGCCAGCGACAGGGCAGCCACCCTGCTGCTCAGGGCCTGCAGGGAGGAGCCCTCCTGCTGGCGCCGCTCGTCCAGGCTCACCTGGGTCTCTTCCAGGGCACGCGTGGTGTCCCGCTGGCCCTCCCGGATGACATCCAGGTCAAAGTAGAGTTTCTGGCAGTTGCAGTCCTTGGCGTACTTGATGAGGTCCGCGTGGCCGCCCTGCAGGTGCTGGAGGGTGAGGTTGAGCTCCAGGAGCTGCCGCTCCATGTCCTCCTTGTTCTCCTCCATGATCAGTGACTTTTCCATCAGCATCACCCGCAGCTCACGCAGCGCTGTGTGGTTCACCTGAAGCTCCTGCACCTGCCGCTCTACCTTGCTGATCTGTTCGTAGGTGTCATCGGATTCCAAATACAGCTCCTTGATCTCATCCACGTGCTGGGCGAGGGTGGCCTTCATGTCTGCGAGGGTGCTCTGTAACTTCTCTTCCCTGTGGGCAGTGGTCACATGCAGTGCAGAGAGGTTCCTCTGCAGCTGACCCAGCCTGGCCTGCAGGCTCTCTGGTTCCGGCCTCGCTGCTGCCCCTGCTGCCACCAGGACCAGGCTGCCATTGACCCCCGGGGACTCCTGGGCCTTAAGGAGCTTCTTAAGCTTGGTGTTCACATCCGCCTGGACCTCCAGGAGGGACTGGTGCAGGGACAGGTGCTGGGCATGCAGGTGGGCCTCCACATCCTGCCGTAGCTGGCCCACCCTCTGGCTGTTCTCCTGGACCTTGGTCTCAAATTTGGCACCAAGATCCTGGAAGTCAGCTCTGGCCACAGAGCTCTCCTGGACGCTCTTGAGGTCCTGTCGGTTGGCCTCCACATCAAGAGATAAGTTTCTTATGGCCTGGGAGAGGCTGTGCAGGCTTTGGTTGAAGCTTCTCCACATGGGGCTGAGATGTCCTTGCAGGAAGGTGTTGATGTGGGGCAGTAGCACTTGCTCCAAGGATCTGCCGGGAAACTCTACAAGAGATGCACGTGTTTACACAACCCCTTCGGGAGCAGACAGCCTCCCCAGGGGGCGACTGAGGAGTCGGGGGTGGGGTGGGGCGGGGGGTGCTCTGAGGTATGGGCCTTCCTGCTTCCCCTCCCACTCATCCCCTGGGATGTGACTGGGCTCTTCCTCAGCCCATGGAACCTGCCACTCACCAAGTTCTGTCTGATTTGCCTCAGTTATTGCCACTGTGAGGTTGCTTGCCAGGGCCTTCCATAGGCCTGGGAGGCTGTCTGCCACCTGGTGAATGTCGTTCTGGAGATCTCCCAGCCGGCGTTCCTGCTGCTCCACCATGTCGCTGATGTCTGCATCCCAGTGGCCTGAATACACATGAGACATAAGTGTCTAACTTCCCAGGCCTGGGCAGAACATGAGGTGCAGAGAGGAAATTTGGGGATTGAAACAGGGAGCTGTGTCCTGATGTCCTCTGAGCAGGAGCTTAGAAGCCTTTAACTCCAGAAGGGCAAATGCATGGCAAGTGAGCCCTCACCCTGCCCCCTAAACCCACAGCAGACATGACTAATCCACCGTGGCACACTTTCCTCCTCAGTCACGGGGGGCACGGCTTCTCGACATCATTCTAGTCAGCCCTTGTCAGTAGACAGGAGTTCACCACATGATGAAACTTACTCCCCATCCCAACTATGGCCCGGCCTTGAAAGCCTCACCAATGGTGTCACTTGGTGGTTCTGCTGTGCTGATCATCACCAGGGACAGCATGACTTCCTGGCCCTGGTTAGGGGGGCTGTGGGGAGGCTTCTCCCAGGACATGGGAGCTTATGCAGTTCAGGGGGCAAGGAGGGTGCCGGGTGAAGCTGTCCTTCCCAGAAAATGGGGTCAAGGGAAAGGGTGCGTGTGCTCGGCCAGCAGGCAAGTCACTGAGGGCCCTGGAACCTGGCTGCCTTGGTGTGGGGGCAGGGTGACACAGGGCCACAGAGGGACCCCTGCTGATTCTGGGGACATAGCTTCCCTGAAATGGCACTGCCCTATCAGAGGAGAAGAGCCCTGGGCACATGGGTTCTTTCTTCCCGCCTGTCCGTCCTGTGCCTTCCAGGAAAGCAGCATACCAGGTTCAAAGTCAACTGGCCCATCCCAAGGCTCCTGGAGGCTATCACCTGGATCTTCAGGCTCAGGGATCGCCCTGGGATCTGCAGAGAAGCATCAGATGTTGACACCAGAGGTCAGAGGGGCTGCATGACCTCTGGGGTCAGAGGTCAAGGGGGAAGGGGGATCACAGGGAACCCTACCGTGGTGCTGGCAGTCGGGTCCCACAAAGCCCGGGCAGCACCTCCACGCCACGGAGGCCAGCACCTTCTGCTTGACCTGGTACACCGGCTTGTGGGCCACGCGGTACCTGCGGGAAGACGGCTGGCTCAGCGACTCTAGGGTGAACCGGCACAGGGCCTGGATGAATAGCCCACCCTGCTGCACCCCGACTCACATGACTTTCACTTTCTGGCAGTCCGGAGCCCCGTGTGGACATGGCTGCTGTGAGTGGACTAGGAATTTCTCTGTTTTGCAAGCAGCTACGAAGGTGACCAGCCTGGATTTCTGGTAGGGACACCAGTTACTGGAAAAAACAAGCCAGAAGAGAGGGGGCTGCTGAGCCACACCCAGGCCCCCCACTTCTAGAGGTCAGCAGGGAGCCAGTGCTAAGCACCACCCCCTCCACCGTCCCCGCCTCTCTGCCCTACCCAGTCTGGGGGATTCTGGAATCCATTAGCCTGAGAAGGGAGTGCTCTGCATTATTCATTCCTCTGCTCCAGAGCAAAAGCTCCACAGATCCCGCCTGCAAGGGCACCTGCTCCATGGCCTTCCAGGAAGGACCCCTCACTCCTGGGTCAGCACAGAGAGGCTCAGGAGCACCCCCCCACGACCAAATCACAGAGTTACCACCAGAGTCAGGAAGGGATCTCTCTGTTTCTCCTGGTGCCAGGGAGGCAGCATGGTGCTGCTGGGGCTAGAGAGTCCTGGGTTCGAATCCTTCACAGTTTCTGGTTGTGTGACCTCAAGCGAGGCACTTAGGGAGTTTTCGTTTCCCATCTACACGATGGAGATCATAATAGTCTCCTCCAAGTGGGCAAAAGAGTATCAAGTCCCTGTGGCTCTTCCCAAGTGCCCAGTGAACACTGCTGTCCTGCCCGCTCTGGCGGCCCTGGCAGCCTGCCCCATTCCCATTACCACCCACATCCTTCCTCACCGGAGACCCGGCTGAGGGGAGGGCGCCTGCTCTGGTTGTGCCCCATTATGGCCATTGTGGAAATGGACTTTCAAACAGTTGTAGGGGAAGGCAGCCAGGCCGAGCAGTTCCTTCTGTGGAACCCACACTGAGGTTGTAACTAGTGGTGTGGGGGGTCACACTCGGCATCCTGAACACGCGGGAGGTCACCCTGCCTCCTGTGCCCTCCACCAGCGTGTGCTGCCGTGCATCCAGAGTGGAGGGCTGCTCACTGCTGGCAGAACCCCAGCTCACAGATCTGGTGGCAGAGCTGATGCACTCAGCAACAGGTCAGAGGGCCCTTCCCCACGCAGTCAGCTCTCGCAGCAGAGCTCTCCAGCGTTGCAAGTGGTAATGACCTCCATGGCCCTGTTCGATGTAGCCCCTGGTGAGAGCGGGTGCTGGGCTCCGGCTCAGTGCCAATGTGGAGGCTCAGACCTTCTCTTCAGGGTCCCAAGGGAGAGTGGGTGATCTCAGATGGTGTGATAGGTGCTAGGACCTGGGGAGACTTTGGGGAGGAGGGGATGATTAGGCTGCATCTTACGTGGAGGGAATGAGGTGAAGCACAGGGAGCTGTGACAGAGGTATGTGGCCCCACTGAGTTGCGGAGGCTGGGAGCAGGGAAAGGGCTGCCAAGGAGAGGCGATGGGGGTAAGGAGAAGCCAGACCATGGAGGGCTTGAGTGCCCCCTGAGGACAGGGCTCCATCCTGAAGGCATGGGGAGCCGTGGAGGAGCTTAAGCAGGGAGGTGACATGAAAGAGCCACCCCGGTTCCTGGGTACGGAAAGGATGGGAGGGGGCAAGATGTAGGTGGTGGTGTCAGGGGTCTAGGTGGGAGATAATGGCAGCGTGGACTGACGACCATGATGGTGGATTTCAGGAGAAAGGACCACGTTTGTGAGATGTTGGGAGGCGATGTTCAGGGCCCTTGGTGATTGAGTGGCTCTCAGGCTGCGATTTAATTCTCTGAAGTTGATCTCTGCCCCGGGCCCACCAGGTACCATCACACAGGGATACTGCTGGGGAGGGCAGTGGGGTAAGTTGAGGGGGATTGAGTGACTGTATCTATTTTGAGTGCTGAGACCACGCAGCCTGCCTTCCCACTTGGCTCCCAGAAGCCTGGCAGCTGGCCTTTACCCTCTTGGCAGCAGACTGAAAAAGCTTCTCAGAAAAATGACGCCACTCGAGGGGAAAGACTTAAAGACACTGACACCAGGGGTTCCCCCCAATGAACTAGCCCAGCAGAGCATCCTATAACAAAACAGATCACCCATCCACGCAGCTTCCAATCAGCTTCCCAGCCTCTCTACTCTGAAGCGGGCAGACATCCAAGAATGACCCCTGAGGAAAATCTCTTATAAAAGTGGGAGGTCAAAACGAGCAAATGTAAGAAAATCAACTTGAAGAAAACCAAGACTGCAGGGAGAAAAGAACTTCCTCCCAGATTTGCATTAATATTCCCAGACTGATAAGAGCACTTACTGCATTCCAGAAACAAGAAAAGGAAGCCACTTTAAAAATCGGGGCAGAACACTGAGAGAACAAAAAAGAACCCTTGGAAATTAAAACTATAATGGTAGAAATGCAAAAGAAATTTAATAGAAAAGTTAAAGGGTAAAGTTAAAGAAATTTCCCTAAAAGAAGAGGAAACAGAGATGGAAAATAGGACAGAAAAGATCAGAAAAATAGAGGACCAGTGTTGGGAATCCAACATCCAAACAGTAGGAGTTCCAGAAAGAGAGAACAGAGGGAGGGAATCACTGATGAAAACAACCAAATGAATAGTCCAGAAGAGAAGGACGTGGAATTTCAGATTCAAAGGGCCCACCAGTTACCCACAATACAATGAAAATAAACGCACAGCAAAGCACATCGTTGTGAAATTTTGGAACTCTGGGAATGAGAATGATTCTACACTTTCCAGAGAAAAAAATCAAGCCCCTCCCCACCACACACACACACACACACACACACACACACACACACACACACACACACACACTTGGGAATCCAACATCCAAACAGTAGGAGTTCCAGAAAGAGAGAACAGAGGGAGGGAATCACTGATGAAAACAACCAAATGAATAGTCCAGAAGAGAAGGACGTGGAATTTCAGATTCAAAGGGCCCACCAGTTACCCACAATACAATGAAAATAAACGCACAGCAAAGCACATCGTTGTGAAATTTTGGAACTCTGGGAATGAGAATGATTCTACACTTTCCAGAGAAAAAAATCAAGCCCCTCCCCACCACACACACACACACACACACACACACACACACACACACACACACACACACACACACACACACATCAGTAAATAGAATAGCCTTGAACCTCTCAACAGCAGTACCAGACACTAAAACATAGTGGAGAATCACCTTCAAAATACTGAAGGAAAATTATTTCCAATTTAGAATCCTATACCCAGCCTAACTATCAATTTAAGGAGCACAAAATTATTAAGACGTTTTCAACAAGCCAGACTGATTTCAAAGCATTTCCCTCCCCAGGACCCTCATCAGGGAACTACTAGAGCAGTGGTTTGCAATCTTGCCATCAAACCTTCACATCAGAAGCGTCCTGTGGCACTTTAAAAATATGAGCCTACAGGCCCCACCCCAGGCCAGTTAAAGGAGATTCTCTGGGATTAAGGCCTGGTCTTCTGCATTTTAACGCTCTCTGGGTCATTCTAAGGCATAGCCCAGGATTGAGGACCGCTGTGCCAGAAATGTTCCACCAAAACAGAGAGAACACCAAGAAACAGGAAATCATGGCATCAGGAAACAAGAGTTCCAGCACAGAAACGAGGTAAAGGGAGACCCTAGGACAATGACAGGCAGGGGGTTAGTGAGCAATGGTCCAGCCTGGAGCACAGCTGGAGGCTCTGAGAGAGGCATCTCCAAGAAGACACAGGTGGTCAAACACCTGACAGGAATGAAGGTGGAGAGCAGATGTGGACAACTGGCTGAGAGTTTGGAATTGAACGGTGACAAAAACACAGAAAACTAAGCAAAAGGAAAAAAACTAAAACAAAGACAATTGTTTATTTCAGGGAAAACCAAACGTGTGCGGGGAGGAAAAAGGATGCATAGGCTTTCCAGGACATACAGACTCTGAACATCTACTCAATTTGGCCATTGTAGCAGGAAAGCTGATACTGACAGGATGTAAATAATGGGCATGGCTGCGTTCTAATAAAACTTTATTTACAAAACAGGTGGTGAGCCAAATTTGGCCCACTATGCCAGAGTTTTCCAAGCCCTGCTTATGTGTGTGTATAACTAATAAAAACGAAACTTAAAAATAAAATGATTTCTATCTGGAAGAGAAAATGCAGATGAACAGGTAAGAACATTTTGGAAGACAACGAGTGAGGAGTTCCTCATCTAACTGTTATGACTGACTCTAATGCCAAGGAATGAAAACGGTGGGACGTGAATTCCCCGGTGGTTCCAGTGGTTAAGACTCTGTGCTTTCGATGCCAAGGGTGCGGGTTCAATCCCTGGTCTGGGAACTAAGATCCCACAAGCTGTGCGGGTGTGGCCAAAAAAATTAAATCAATCCAGAAAACAGTGGGACGTTGGCACAAGATTTGTCAAGTCAGTCAGTGGGGACAGAGACCCGGAAGAGACCCGTACATCCCTGAGGGACTAGTAAATGGTAAAAGGGACATGTGAAAATCAGGATGGAAGCAAAGGATGGGCACTCAACACAGAAACGGGACTGTGAAGGTGCTGGGCCCAGAGGTTAGGGCCGGGGGGCAAGGTGGCCACCTGCACAGACTGTTTCAAGGATCAGTGACTGCAGCCCGCACCTCTCCCTGGGCCCCATGGAAATTCCTGGAACATGCTCAGACCTAGAGAGTAGTATCTCTGTAAACCAGTTGTTCTCAACGGGGCCTGTGTTGGGAGGAGAGGGGATTCGCCCCAGGTGTATTTGGCAATGTCAATAGTGCAAGGCTGAGAAACACCCGCTGTAAGCTAAGTTCTGCTCCTCACGTGCCCTCTGAATGGCTGCAGAGGGTCCAGGAGGCCTGTACCCTGGGAGCACCAGGTCTGGGCCAGCCTGCAGGGAGTGACCGGGACTTTCCACCTCGGGTTCCTAGAACTGGAAGCGGTGCTGCCCACCCTTCCTGCCCAGGAACTTTCTCTCCTGATCTGCCCAAACCTCAGGCTCCAGCAGCCGCTGTTCTCCCTGCCCACGCTCCCCTCCCTTGGCACAGTACAGGCTGCTGGCCCAGAAGCCCTGGGAACATTCCTGACCTTTGCTTTGGTTTCCTCCGGCTCTTGGCAGTTTCTCGCTGGTCCACTGAGCCCCCGGCCCAGCTCGCTGAAGTGCCCCATTGTTCTCACTGCCTCCTGGCCTCGGGCCCTGGCCCTCTTGGCACTCTCATCTCCCAGTGGTCTACTGAGAGGCAGGTGCCAGCCTAGAAATGAGTGTGAGGGTCTCCAGCCTGCTTTGGGCCTGTCCTGGGCCTCTGATATGGCCTCTGATGCCCTCCTGCCCGGGCAGGAAAGAGTCTGCTGCCCCCCTTGGAGCTTCTAATAGGAACTGGGAGGCCTGGGCTCTCCTTCCTTCCCTGTCCCTGGACTCAGGGTGACCTTGAGCAAGGCCCTTCCTCCAGCCCTGGAAGTGTGGAGCAGACTCCCACTCCCAGCCCCTCCATGGGGAGAGGCTATAAGGAAGGCAGAGAAAGCCTCCGGCAGGGAAAGGACTGTTAGCCTGAGCCTCCTGAATTATAAATGTGCTGCTGCTATGGCCCATTGGGACACTTAAGTGCCTCTTAACCAGCCAGTAAAACGTACCTCCGACTGCCCTTTAAGTCTTTCTGTGGAAGGAAGTTGTGTTCTTAGCATGCTGGCTCTCTGAGGTCCTGGATGCGGCTGTGATTGAGATGACTCCATGGGAGAAGTTTGCCGGGCTTGGTCTCTGAGCCACAGAGGAGCCCAAGGCCCACTTGGTGTCCATCCCTGAGCATAGCTCACGCCACTGGGGCTCTTCCCTGTTAGTGCTCAGGGCCCTGTGCCTTGGAGAACAGATACAGGTGCAGGAGGTACAGCTTGGCCCGGAGACCAGCGGTCTGGGCTCCACTCTGCTCCTGTGTGACCTCCAGAGACATGCGTGACTCCTCTGGGCCACAAGCTCCCAGCTGCAAAAGTTGCAAATGCTCCTTGTGGAGACACTGATGCTGGTGACCGGGGCCAGCTGGGCTGCTGGGAGGAGCGGCTCCTACACTCCCATCCCTCTTAGGGGAGACAGAACTGAGGACACCTGGGATTTGCAGCCCAGCTGATGTGGGCCTGACCCATCACTTAGGAGCTGTGGGGCCCCTGGTGGCGACCCCACCCCTCTGAGCCTCACAACATGTAAAGTGGAGAGAACAGGGGCGACCTTGCAGTACTGTCACAACAATGTGGAGATGGGGCACCTTGCCTGGGTCTTAGCTCAGTCCCCTCAGCAGGCTCAGTCCTGCCTGGGAAGCGCTCATGTGCCTGAGGAACCCACATCCTAACCTCCTGCTCTCCCCACCCCCACGAAAGCCTGGGATCAAAGAAAGAGCCTCTTCCCCACAAAGTCCAAATACCCACGTCGCTGGCTCACTGGGCCCAGCCCCACAGGCTCCTGGGTGACCTAGGAAGCACCAACCATGTCCCTCCTCCATCCTGAGACCTGGCATCCAGCACCACATTGTTTTGTTCGAGCTTCTCCTTTCAAAGGGTCTTTTTTTTTTCTTTTAAATTTTTAAATTTTTATTTATTTGGTTGCGCCGGGTCTTAGGTGGGGCTCGCAGGCTCCTTAGTTGCGGCACACAAACTCTTAGCTGCGGCACGCATGCGGGATCTAGTTCCCTGACCAGGGATCGAACCCAGGCGCCCTACGTTGGGAGCACAGAGTCTTAGACACTGTGCCACCAGGGAAGTCCACAAGGCATCTTATCTGGGTCTGTGTCCAGGGCCTACCCTGGCCCCCAGGCCCTGGATACAGGTATGAGGGGCAAATGCAGGGCAGGGCCCGCCAGGCTCGTGGCAGGTGGCATGGGTGGTGTGGTGCCCCTGCTTGGCTGTGGAGAGCCTGTTTGCCTCCCCTTCCCCATAGCAGGAGCAGGGCTGGGGCTGCGTTTCCGCCTCTCCCCTCACAGGAACACGGGAAGCAATCAGCCTGAGGAAGCCGCGCGGCGCTTCCTTCCTTTCTCACCAGACCCTCCGGAGGCCTCGACAACCTGGGCTTGACATGTGGGGCCTGCAGCTTCTGGGTTGTAGGCAGGAGACCAGCAGGCCTGATGGGACCCCCTGGAGGTTCCTGGGACCAGGGCTTGGGACTCCTGCCTGGGCGTTCCCAGGCCAGGGTACACTTGCACACACACCTGCACACACTGAGGCCACCAGGCCATGGCTGAGTGACCCCCTCAGGCCTTGAGCAGTCCGGAGACCCACCCTCCCTGGGGCTAATGGAATGCAGTCTCTCCCCGCAGCCCCGGGGTGGGAGTGGGGGAGAAAGAGAAGCATCTCCTACCTCCTGCCCAGCCGCTTGGGGCCCTCATACTCCCTTTCATCAGAGGGAGGCCGGCCACCCAGAGACAGGGGCTTGGAGTTGGGGGTTTTGGGGAGGGAAGGCTGGATCCTTGGTCCTGAAATCAGAGCTGGGTGACTGGGTTCCCCCACCAAGAGCCATGTGCACCTCCCAGCTCTGAGCAGAGCTGGGAACGGCGCAGGAAAGGGGGTCTCTCCAGGCCCAACTTCTCCCCTCTCCACCCACATGGCCCGCCCCTCCTTCACCTAGCGGCAGTGCACACTCGCCTGCTCTCACCCTCCTGCCTCTCCCTGGTCAGACCCGCTTTCGGGTAAGTGTCTAACAAACGTCTAACATTCACCTTGAAGTGTCAGAGCTGTATGAGAACTGTCCCAGGAAGGTTTGGGCCAGGCCCACGTGACGGTGAATCTCGGCCAGCCAGACGGGAGACTCTGGGTGACTGTAAATTGGTCCCTCTTACCCTCCAAATCCTTATAGATGCCCTCAACCAAGTCTGGTTTGGGCGGGGAGGGGGAGGGGGGGAATAGGCACCCCTGGGACTGGGACCAGAGTATGATCTCTAGAGTCAGACTCAGATCCCGGTTCTAGCTCTCCTCGGCTGTGTGACCTTAGCCAGCTGCTTAGCCTCTCTGAGCCCCAGGCTCCTCTGTAACCGGGGCTGTAAGGAGGATTGAGATAACACTTGGCAAGATGCCTAGCCCAGAGGTGGGTCCGATAAATGGCACCTGCTGCTCTGACTGAGGGGGACCCTGAGGAGGGACCCACATTCCCAGCACCTTATCAGCAGGAGGATCCCTGGCCCTAGACACATAAAAAGGCTGGAAAAGGGTGTCCTGGTCTAGTCATAACACCATTCCACCCATTTCCAGAGGGCTGCTGAAGCAGAGCTCGCTGGATGCCACAGCCTCCTTTTTGTTCTTGAAATAGAGCAGGGCACCCTGTCTGCTCACTGCTCGACTGTTAGGGCCAGGATGAGGGCCCATGCCAGTCCCCCTGGGCACTCAGATCCAAATCCAGTCCCCAGGAGCATCTGTCTTCTATGGCTTAGGCCAGGCCAGCCTCAACCGGGCTCAGCTTTCAGGACTGACTTACTTCGAAGAATAGGAGGCACTCCCAGGTCAGCTAGAAACTTCCAGAACCCCAGCCCCTCAGCACCCCAGTGGTCAATGGCATAGAGTGCTCCCGCCCTGTCCAACCTCCAGGCCCATTCCCTGCCATGGGTAGGCGGGGAACTTCCTGTGGTCCTTAGGCTGGGCCCTGGGGTACCCAGTCCAGGCCGGCTGGGGGTGGCCTCCTAAAGGGGAGCCTGCCGCCTAGCACCTCATTCAGCCTCACAGCTGGTCCAGCAGGTAGATAGTATGAGCCCATTTCACGTATGGGTAACTGAAGTCCAGAGAGTCCCTGCTTTGGCTGAGCTGGGACTCAGATCCTCTACCACTTCCTCCCCCAGGTCCAGGCCCTCCTTACCGTCTGACGGGGTCCCTGTCCTCAGCCTCTGCCCTCCAGACCCCAGGTGGCCTGGGGCTGTGTGGATCGGAGAACCTGGTACTGGGGACCTGGGCCCAGGCCCCCAGCAGCCCCCAGCCCAGGGGCCCCCCGACGCTGAGCAGCAGTGTCAGGATCATCTTGGCTTGGGGCGGACTCAGCCTCTGCGGGTGACTCCAGACACTGCCAGCGCTGGTGACGCTGTCTTCACGGTAAGTCTCAGAAGGAAAAGAAAAGCACGGGGACAACAAAGAGAGGAAGTGGCCTGGGCCGGCCCACCCGGTGAGTCTCGTCCGGCCCCCCTCACCCTCGGCCTGGTCCCCACAGGGGCAGCCAACAACGCAGGCCAGTTCCTGTGTGCCCCGGGAGGACTCGGGTCTGGGACACTGGGGGTGTGGGAGACACGGGGGGAGGTGGCCCCACCAAGCATGTCCCCATGGGAATCAGGAGAACCGCACCAGCACAGAGGTGGGGCAGCAGGAAGCGGTCGGATCAGTCTCAGGGAACCTGCTGCCCATCCATGCTGGTGGCCAGGAAGTGGGGGGCACTCGTGCCTACTCAGCATCTCTCACCACTGGGCAGTGGGAGCCAGCAGACGGGTGGAGGCTCAGAAGGACAAAGGAGCTGTCCTAGGGTCTCACAGTCTGTAGCTGGGGCCAGGGCCTGCGTCAGCTCTTTGTGGCTCAGCTCCTCCACCTGGCCTTGCCCAAGCCCCAGGATGGGGGCATCCATGGTGCTGGTGAGAAGTTGGGTAGCCCGGGCCAGTCTGGGAGGTTGGCTACTCTTGCCTGACAGACCTGCTTGGTCCTGACCCCTGCCCTGCCTGGGACGCTGGTAACAGAGGCACCTCCCCTCTCTGTGCCTGCCCCCCCTCTGTGACCCCTCTCTGCCCCAGATGTACACAGATACAACAGCCCCAGGCCTGGGAGCACCCAGTCAAGGCTGCCCCTGTGGGTGCGCAGGGCGGCAAATGAATGAAGGACAGTGATGGATAAGGATGTGTCCGGCCCTCTATGGCCCCTCCAGGGAGGGCAGGGGACAGGAGGGGAGGGTTGAGCCAGCAGGGGCTCGGGGACCCTGGGAGAAGGGGGCGGCGAGCCTGCTTCCTCCCTCCCTCCTTCCCTGCCCCCACCCCCGGGCTGGCTGGGCTCCCATCAGCCGCCGCTGCATCATCAATATTTCATTGGCGGCCATAAGAGGCAGCAGTAGGGACAGCGGCTGCGGCAGCACTCGAGCCAGCTCCAGTCACAGTTCGCCCGGGGAGTCAGTCCCCCGTCCCTGCCCACAGCCATGGACGTCTTCAAGAAGGGCTTCTCCATCGCCAAGGAGGGTGTTGTGGGCGCCGTGGAGAAGACCAAGCAGGGGGTGACAGAGGCTGCTGAGAAGACCAAGGAGGGTGTCATGTATGTGGGTGAGTTTGGGCGTGGCAGGGCCTGGCAGGGCAGGGCAGCTTGGTGGCCGCCCAGTTACCTGGGCCTGACTTTATCCCCCAGCCCCTGGGAGGCATTTTGAGAGGGATGAGGACCTGGCAGTTGAGTCAGGGTCTCCCAGCCCTGGAGGACCGCCACTCTCCCGCACACCCCGTTGTCTGTTTGGCCTCCTCAGGGCCCCAGGGGCCTCTGGGACAGAACAGCAAGGGAGGCACTTAGCCCTCAGACACACCTGTTTGTGCGCACACAGATGCACACACCAACGCACACCAGCGCCCCCGCCCAGCATCACCCACAGGCCCCCTGACTCGGGTAAGAAGCCACACTGAGCCTGGAGCCCCGCGGACCGAGCAAGCAGGTGCTCAGCAGCCAGGCCACGGGCCCCCACTCCGCCCAGAGGGAAGGGGTGCGTCAGGCGAGATGAGACCAACCCTCAGCGTCCTGTCCAGCCTCCCGTGCACCCCACCCCTGCCAGCTCCTTCCGAAGAGGAGGCTGAGCTGATGACTCAGCTCTCGTTGACCCTGTCCTGCGCTGCTTCCGAGGCCCGGGCCATACCCACATGAGGTCCAGACCCTACCTCAGGCCTGGTCTCTCTCGTCCCTCCATCCTGTCCTGTCCACTTCCCATCTGTCCCCTTCCTCCAGACACAGCAGGAAGTGGCCTTTGAAAGGATGGCCGGCCCCCAGACACCATCCTTACCTCCCACTGACCCTGCAGCTTGTCCAGCTGTTCTGTGGTGTGTTTGCCTGGCCCACTCCCCCCCTCCCAACACCAGGAGTGGGACTGGGCTGACGTCTCCACTTCCTCCACAGGAGCCAAGACCAAGGAAGGTGTTGTGCAGAGTGTGACCTCAGGTGAGGAGCCCCAGGACCCGGGGACATGGAGGCTGAGACGTCCAGGGACTTTTGCACCCTGGTGCTAAAGGCCCAAGCCCAGGCACCTCCTTTCCCCGCTGCTGTACACGGACCCAGATTTCTCCAGAATCTGGGGCTAGACCCAGGGTGGGCTGCCCCCATCGTTGTCAGAGCTCCCCTGGCGTCAGAAAGGGGACAGCTTAAGGTCTCCAGTAGAGCCAGAGTTTTGAGCGCCCTGGGAAAGGGGCTGCTCTGGCCTGACGGGAAGGCCAGGCCCGGGTGGGGTGGGGTCAGGGCCAAAGCCAGCCAGATTCCTCCCACAGTGGCTGAGAAGACCAAGGAGCACGCCAACGCCGTGAGCGAGGCCGTGGTCTCCAGTGTCAACACCGTGGCCACCAAGACCGTGGAGGAAGCAGAGAACATCGCGATCACCTCCGGAGTGGTGCACAAGGTGAGACCTGGTCCCCAGCCCTGGCCCTCAGACCCGTCCCATCCTTTCCCCTGGGCCCCAGGGAGGCTAGCTGGGGAGGAGGCATTATCATCCCACTGACATACAGGGGAATGGAGACTCAGGGGCCCTGGTCTGCGTTTGGTGTTGTCACATTCATTAAGTCCTGGAATCCTCACGACCATCCCTGTGAGCGGAGCTGTGTGGGGCCCAACTGGAATGAGGCTCAAAACCACATTCTCCTGACAGCGCTCAGCATTTAGGACACACCCCATTTCACTAGCGAAAGCGGGGTCCTGAGGGCCCCGAGTGGTGATGGGCGGCCTCACACGGGCAGTGGACACCAGCTCAGAGCTGCCAGGTCACCGCCAGCCCAGTGTCCAGCCTCCCTCCGGGCCTGGCGGGGCAGGGCCTCCTCCTCCAAGGAGCAGCAGGGAAGCAGCGCCCCCTGGTGACGGAAAAAGAGTGAGGGTTCTGACCACACCCTCTGCCTCCACCTTTGCGAGCGTGCGTGTGTGCGTGCTTGTGCCTGGTGTGAGTGTGCCCGTGTGTGTGTGCGCGCGCACGCACGCGCGCCGGGCAACAGAGAGCACAAGAGCAGGGGAGCACTCCCAGGGGGCGGAGGCTGGCTGGGAGAACTGTCCCAGAACCCACCACAGAAAGACTCTGCTTGAAGCATTTTACACCTACTAACTCATTTCTTTGGCCCAAAATCCCATGAGACAGGGTGTGGAATGAGGCCCAGAGAGATATGGTAATCAAGGTCCTATGGCTAGTCTGAGTGAGCCTGCAATTCTCTGGGCAGCCTGGGTCCTGAGACTGTGCTCTGAAAGGGAGACTCTGAGTGGGAGATTGGGAGATCATGGTGGGGGCATTGTGGGCAGGAGGTTTTCCTATTCCAGAGATGTGCCGTCTCAGCTCTGTACGAGGCTGTCCTTTAGAAAGCTCTCCTACCTGGCACAGGCCCCGAGGGGCCGGTAGAGTCCCAGGCACCCAGGGCTAAGAATCCCTGCTCCAGGGAGTGGGTGGGTGGAAGGGTAGGGGGTCACCCTGCCCCTGGCTCTGGGGGCAGCACCAAGGTGTCTGCTTCCAGGGCCAGCACAAGGTCTCCAGACCCTAGGAACAGGCAGGTGCCCTTGCTCCTAGTTCCCAGCTCTGCCTCGTCCTAGCTCTGTGACCTTGGGAAGCTACTCAACCTCTCGGGGCCTCCATTTTTTCAGCTGTAAAATGCCTGGGGTGGGGGGAGGGTGGGGCTGAGAGTATCCATTTCACTGGGCTGTGATGATGCAGGGAAATGGCCCCCATGAAGCAGCTTTGCCTTGCTCGTGGTGAGCACCCGACAAAGGGAGGTGACTGCATCATCATCATCAGCGCCCCTGGGCACTACCCAAATGTACCCCAGGAGATCCCAGGCCCCTCCCTCCCCCATCCACCAGCAAAAGAGGCTTGGGATGGGGCCAGGCTGCCCCTGCACCTCTGAGCAGAAGCCTGGGCACTCCTCTCTGACTTTGGAGGAGGGCTGGTGAGCCCCTGGAGCTACCCCAAGGAAGACATTTCCTGGTGACACCCAAAAACCAGCCATGACTCACCCTCCAGTGAACCGTAGAAGGATGCAGCACTGCCAGTCTGTCTGACCGTTCATGCCACTGGCCTCACGCACCCACCTTGGGGCAGCAGGACTAGGTAGGCGGCCACCTGTCCTTTGCCTGAAGAGCCTGCCCCAACTCTGGCTGCCCCAGTCCACCAAGGGGCAGGATGGCCCCATGGTAACAGTGAGGTGGGAGGACCCTTCAGAGGTAGAAGCTGAGACTAGTGTCCAAGCTGATCACCCAGTCTGGCCCAGCCTACCAGCTTCACACGACCACCCCCAAGCAGGCCGCCATCTCAGGCAAGCGCCTGGCCAGGTGTAGGTGGGTAGAAGGAGACAGGAAGTGGGAGAGGACCATATAATCGCTGCTGGTTCCAGCCAGACCTGCCTGAGCCCAGTGCCCATCCAGGAGGCAGGGAGAAGGAAAGAGGGTGGTACTCATGCTACTGGGATAGGGTTGGGCCTGGAGCAAGCCAGACCTGATCCCTACAAGCCTCACTGCTTTGACCTCTGAGGCCTTAAGCTGGATACCTGGCCTCTCTAGGCATAGGGTCCCCATGTGAATGGTGATAACATGCACCTCCTCCTAGGGCTCTTTGGGGTCACAGGAGGACAAGGGTATGTGATCGTGTGATTCAGGAACACTGAGGGTGGGGTCAGGCCTAGTGCTTCAGGGGCCACTGCCCACCCCACCTCACTGGGCTTCCTCATGGAGGCCCAACCAGGGACTGTCAGTGACTCAGCATCTGCTTTTGGGGGTGAAGCTGGGCTTGGTACCCCCAGAAGGCCTTGGCATCATCAGACAGAGCCCCCACTGTGAATCCTTACGTGAGGCTCTATCACCTCCGAGGTCAGTCTGACCCTCATACCTCCCTCACCTCCAGCCCTCCACATAGAGCAAGATGATGAGGACCTCTGCTCATCTTTGAGGCCAGGGTGACAAGACCCTGGATGCAAGGAGCTGGGGACTCTGTGCCTTCCATCTGGTCCCACATCCCCTTTGCTTTCCCGCAGGAGGACCTGCAGCAACCTGCCCCCTCGCAGGAGGACGAGGCGGCCAAAGTGGAAGAGAAAGTGGCTGAGGCGGTAGGACCTGGGCTCCTGGTGTTACAGGGGGGCCCCTGGGCGAGCTGCTTCCCTCCTGGGGCCCCAGAGCCCTCAAGGGAGCCTCTTGACCTGCAGGCCCCTGAGCCTGAGTGTGAGGTCTCCTCATGGATGACCCCCTCAGGGCAGAGGGGCACAGATGACACCTGTCCCCACCCCACCCAGGGTGGCCACTGAGGGCTGGGGCCCCAGAGCTGCGTGTGAAAGCCTCCCCCAGACCAAGAGTGGAGGAGATTGGAGGGCTGCGGGTGAGCTCGGAGGCCACGGTCCCCCCGTCCTCCCCTGGCTGCCCACAGGCTGGTCCTCCCATGCTGCCGCCACCACCATCACCTGCCTCCCTTGTTCCCTCGCCACCTCTGGGCCTTCTGCCCCCACCGATGCTGCTATGAATTTTTTTTTTTAATGATTCCAAATAAAACTCAAATCCCTACTGCATACCTGCTCAGGCCTCCTGTCTGTGCTGCCCCATTCATGAAGACGCCCTCTGGGCCCTCCTGGGAACAGGAGCTGGGCCAGGTATGCTACGGGAACACCTGGGCGTTTCTGGAACCTACTGATAGCGGGCACTGCCTTCAGGGAGTCCCCCTGCACCACCACCCCGCCACCCCGCCATTGCCGTTTTCTGTTTTTTGTTTTTCGGCCATGCTGCGTGGCTTGCAGGGTCTCAGTTCCCCGACCAGGGATTGAAACCAGGCCACCCCCCACTGGCTTTTCGCATGGAGGTGGCAGCCCTGCTTTTGGCTCGGGCAGACACCTTCAAGGACACACTGTCCGCTGGAGCGTGAGGCCAGGATGCCCCAGGTTTTGAGCTTTGGCTCGCCCTCCGGGAATGGACCCCACTGATGACAGAGGGTGAGGATGGGCCTCCTGGGCCTTCCCTCCATGTGTGTCCTTGGTGGAACAGTTCGTTCTGGGAACAGAGACACCTAACGCCCCTCCCTGGAGCAGATGGTAACTTTCAAAGATGGGAAGAGTCTGGGCTTCCCTGGTGGCGCAGTGGTTGGGAGCCCGCCTGCCGATGCAGGGGACGCGGGTTCGTGCCCAGGTCCGGGAGGATCCCACATGCTGTGGAGCGGCTGGGCCCGTGAGCCATGGCCGCTGAGCCTGCGCGTCCGGAGCCTGTGCTCCGCAGCGGGAGAGGCCACAACGGTGAGAGGCCCACGTACCGCAAAAAAAAAAAAAAAATTGAAAGATGGGAAGAGTCTAAACCCATAGTAGGGACTCTGCCTCCTCCTCTGTGGAGAAGGGCATGACCCCAGGGTTCCTCCTGCCTCGCCCCACCCAGCCTTGGGCTCCCACCAAGTTGGACCTGGGCTTTCCCTTTCACCAAAGAGTTCTGTCAAGAATCACTAGAAAACACAACAGCTTAGAGGCAGAAGAGCCAGCCTCCGCCTTGAGAGTAAAAACGAACATTTGTTGAGCTCCTCCCAGGTGTGGGACACTGTACTGAGTGCTTTACCTACTTTAATCCTCAAAACAAATGGCACGTCCCAGTTTCGGCAAAAATGAACTGAGAAACAGAGAGTTAAATAACTTGCCCAAGGGCACAAAGCTAGGAAGCTGGGACCCGGGCAGAAGTCCAGGTGGCCTCGCTCCAGAGCCAAGCAGCTGATTCCCATGCTCTGCTACGTCCACCCGGAGTGCGGGGGCTCCAGTGGCGTTATGGCAGATGCTGCCACCCCCAAGGTTTCAAAACAACCCAGGGACCAGGGTGGTCGTTGTCCTACACGAAGGGCTGTTGGCATCATGCCCTGGAGTCTCGTTCAGAGGTGCCTGAGCAGAGAGCAGGGCTCCCTTTCCTTTGACAGCCAGTTTGGGTTCAGAGCATCTCAGTGGCTTGCCCCAGCCCTCCAGCCCTGGGTGTGGGCACCAAAACTTAAGTCCACACCACCCTCCCACCCTGCCTCTGTGGTGGGGCGCAGAGGTCAAGGGCAGCCCTGTGGGCTGGGAACCAGTCAAACACAGCTGAGCTTCGTTGTATCCCAGCCTGCCGGTCATGGGTGTCCACGGCTGAGAAGGCAGAAAGGAGCAGTGAGCTGCTCCTCTTGCAGCCCCCAAACCCTACAGTGGGAGGAATGAAGGGTCTGGAAGAGGTGCGGGCAGTCCCGGGTGTTCCTGCTCCCGGGCTAAGACACTGCTCATCAGCAGGCCTGTGCGTGCCCCAGGAGGAGGGCACCTGGAGCCCGGGCTTGCCGGAGAGAAAGTGGGGAGGAGCTGGGCCCTCTCAGCTAACTGGGGGAGGAGGACACCTAGACTCGGCCCCTGGGGTCCCAGTGCCCTCTCCTCTGCTGAAGGAACCTGGGAGGGTCCCTGCTGCTTGCCCCCCGCTCTCACCCCCATATCCAGGGCCAGTTCCTGTGATCAAACAACAAGGTCTGCCCGGTCCAGGTGGCCTCTTCCCCGTCCCATGGGCACTGCAGTGCTCTTTGCCTTTAAGCCCCCTATTATGTGCTGTGGGATCTGTGGGGCTGCACCTGACTTCCCTAGAGGAGTTACTGCTCTCCCCACATCCTCTCCTTATCCGAGAAGTGTCAGGCACCCTGTCCCTTTTTTTTTTTTTTGGTAGGTGGCAGTTTTGTTTTGTTTTTTAATATTTATTTATTTATTTTGGCTGCGCCGGGTCTTAGTTGCAGCACTTGGGATCTTCATTGTGGCATGCGGACTCTTAGTTGCGGTGTGCATGCGGGATCTAGTTCCCGCACCAGGGATAGAACCCAGGCCCGCTGCATTGGGATCGTGGAGTCTTACGCACTAGACCACCAGGGAAGTCCCAGTAGGTGGCAGTTTTTTTTGTTTTTTTGTGGTTTTTTTGCGGTACGCGGGCCTCTCACTGTTGTGGCCTCTCCTGTTGCAGAGCACAGGCTCCAGACACGCAGGCTCAGCGGCCATGGCTCATGGGCCCAGCCGCCCCACGGCATGTGGTATCCTTCCGGACCAGGGCACAAACCCGTGTCCCCTGCAGCGGCAGGCGGACTCTCAACCACTGCGTCACCAGGGAAGCCCAGGTGGCAGTTTTAATAAGAGAACTTACATATGAGGCTTGTATTGGGCAGCCACAAGATGAATAGATCTCCGCCCCAGCCCACCAAAATCTTAAAAGTTAGCAGAGGACTTAACTGGGGTCAGTCATATATTCAATCCAGAGGGTTTCAACAACACCTTACTCTGTCAAGGCTGTGTCCTTGAAATAGCCGCTGCTATGGGAATTGCAGGCAGGACGTACATTCCAAGGACAAGGGAGGGGGTGAGGAGCCTCTGATTGCCCAGGTCCAGCTCGCAAGGCAACCAACAGTTACACCCTCTTGATGACCTCTTCCAACATTGCTGTAACAGATTTTTCAATCATCTACCATGTATCAGGCAAGGTGCTTGGCTCTGAGGAACCAAACTAAGCAAACTAGGTATGGTCTCTCCTCTCCAATTGCTCAGAATCTTGGAGGTGTCAGGGAGGAAGAAATTTTCCTTTACCTTTCTAGGTTCTTCTGGCTGGTTCAAAGAATCATACTGACATGAGACAGATTGACAGGAGAAAATCAAAATTTAATAGCGTGTATACATGGGACAGAGCCAGGAAAACTGAGTAACTTGTCAAAATGGCTGAAGCCTTCACCTTAAATACCATCTTCAGCTAAAGACAAAAGAGGATCTTGGGGCTAGAGATTTGGGGAGGAAGGCAATTGACATGGAGATGGAAAAGCAAATGTTCGGTAAATAAATGTTTGCTGGGTCATGTACAGACAATGGGACACAGAGAGGAATTTTAACAAATAGACTTTTCTCGGTTCCTCCCTGTCTACACACCTAGTTCATACTCTAGTTATTTATGGCGATAGCTCTATTCCTGTAAGTCCCTCTCTCTAAATTCAGCTAAGGGGAAAGATCAAAGTTTTTCCCTGAGTCTTTTGGGCCTTGATTGTTTTCAGCTTGAAATAACTGGCTTGCCAAAATGACATTTTGGAGCGTCAAATTTTGCTCTCCTACAGAGGAAAGAGAGAGAATTTGAAAAGCAATCACTAAAGTCTGGTAAGTGTCATGTTAGGGACGTACAGAGTGCTGGGAGGCCCAATCTGGCATACTTCATCTAATCTGTGATAGTTAAGGAAGGCTTCCCAGAGGTTGTGATATATATTTTATTTATTTATTTATTTATTTATTTATTTTTGGCTGCATTGGGTCTTTGCTGCTGTGCGCCGGCTTTCTTTAGTTGTGGCGACCGGGGGCTACTCTTCGTTGCGGTGTGCAGGCCTCTCATTGTGGTGGCTTCTCTTGTTGTGGAGCACGGGCTCTAGCACGCGCAGGCTTCAATAGTTGTGGCGCGCGGGCTCTAGAGCAGAGACTCAGTAGTTGTGGCACACAGGCTTAGTTGCTCCGCATGGGGGATCCTCCTGGACCAGGGCTCGAACTTGTGTCCCCTGCATTGGCAGGCAGATTCTTAACCACTGGACCATCAGGAAAGCCCGTGGTTGTGATATTTTCGATGAAACTGGAAGGATGAGTTAAGAATTAGCAAGATTAAGGGGGCCTTCCCTCCCCCCACCTTGAAGGACCCTCAGCTGAGTGTCAGGCATCCATCAGCCCATTTAATCCTCACCGTAACACTCTGGGGAGATTCTGGGATTGTGCCCCCCACCATCAGGCTTGATGAAGTTGAGGCTTGATGAGGCTCCTTGAGACACTGAGGCACAGAGAGATGAAGGAACTTGCCCTGGGGGTATGTGAACCCAAAAGGTCTGACTCCGGTGCCTGAAGCTTTACAGCCACTCAACTGTCCATTTTGTCACCTGCTTGGGCCCAAAAGCCCCTCCCAGAGAGGCTGCTGCCTCCCAGTCTCGCTCCTTGCCCACTGGGCCTGGTGCCAAATAGCAACAGCAGCTCAGTGGTGAGCTAACTTGGAGCCGTGTAAAAGGCCTTCCTGGCTTCCTGGGACTGGTGCTACTGGTGGTTTTTCAGGAGGGCTGGCAGGCCTCAGGAGGGCAGGCAGGGTCTGGGCGGGGCTCCCCGGAGTCGAGGAGGTACCATCAAGCGGCTCTGCAGCGCCTTAGTGCTCTGAGCTGGACCAGGCTCAAGGCCGGGAGGGGAGGGGCGGGGCGGGGCGGGGCGGGGCGGGGGGGGGCGGGAAGCCGGGCTCGGTGCCCTGAGGGGCATTGCAACCCGTGCGTGCGCGGGTCCGAGAAATGAGCTCACCCACCCACATACATGTCGTACACGTGAGCTCGTACACGTACCGATTGGAGGGGACAGGCATGTCAGCAGGGGCAGCTGCTTTGTTAGTCTGCGTTTGGTGTCCCATCCCCCAACCTGATCTCAGCGCCTGCCCCTTCCTCTTGCCCAGGAATCCTTCTCCCTTAATCAATTTCGTGTGTGTGTGTGTGTGTGTGTGTGTGTGTGTGTGTGTGTGTGTGTGTGTGTTTCCATATACCCCACGCCAGGGGCTGACCCTCCAAGGCTTATCCACCCTTCCCCACGCATTACAGGCAGAGCTTGGGCCAGCCGAGTGGACCTGGGTAGCTGGGAGCTTCCCAGAGCTCCAAGATAGGGGAGACCCCGACGGACGTGCAGAAACAGGCCCAAAGAGGATGACTCAGAGAGCAGCCTTAGAGAGGGTCGAGCCGCCGCACCGAGACGCAGAGGGGGTGGCCTCCAGACTCCGAAGGCGGGCTCTGGAGCGGGAGAGCGCTGGGCGGGGTGGGGGCCCGACCTGCACCCTTGAGCGCCAGGATGTTGTGCCTCGAGGGTCGTTTTGCTTTTTCTGGGATCCCTCAGGTCACTAACTCCCCTCCCAGCGCCCCCGCTCGTCACCACGCCCCGCGCGCCTGTCCCAGGAGTGGTGACCTGAGAGGCCTGCGGCTTGGCCGCTCCCTTCCTCGCTGTTTGGCCTGGGGTGCTTCCTGCCCAAGTCGTTGGGCTTTGGTGACCGACAACGACTTCCTTGCCTGGGCTGGACACACACGGGCCGCCTTCTCCGTTACTCCCCCTCCACCTCAGGCTGCTTGGTCCCCAGCCAGGGTCGCACGCACGCTAGTGACTCGCCCTCTCGGAAGGGGGTGGGATTTACTCGGCCATCTCCCCACTGCCCTCCCCCGCTACCCCTGTCCCAGCAGCGGCTGGGCAGAGGGCCAGTTTGCAGTGTCCAGGCTGAGTGTGTGGGTCAGGGCGCTAGGGTTTACAGCCCACCGACTCGGACTTGAGTCCCTGACATGTGAATTTGGTTGAGACCTAACTCGCCCTCTGTCCTCAATTGCTTCCTGTAAACTGCTAATAACACCCATTCCAAGAGTTGTGAAGGTTACACAAGAGGCTGTAAGCGTTAGGGCAGCGCCAGGCACAAGGTAAATGCTTAATAAAAGGCAGCTGCTATTATTAATTACAACTCCAGCCTGGAGATCCTGACCTGGTGCTGACCCCGCGCTCACAGGTTGGGGAATCTTCAGGGTCAAAGAGGAGAAGTCCGGCTCACGCGGTAGAGGGAGATTGGTGCGCCCCCCTCTGCCCCCAGCCGCTCTCTGGACCCCTGATCCAGTCCCTCTGCAGCCCCGAGACCCGCTCCAGACCCTCCGCCTTCCACTACGGCCCGCCGGAGGCCAGGTTGTGCTTTCGGGCCGGCGGGGACTGGAGCAGGGCCCGGTCACTCCCCTGAGCTCTAGTGCTGGGAACCGCCCCGCGCCCCCTCCAACCCCCCTCCTTGCGGGGCGGGCCGGCCCTGGGGCGCCTTAAAAACCAGAGCTGGTGCTCGGGTCGCCGCCGCTTTGAGCAGGATCCACGTCGCTACGGTTACCCTGAAGCACCTCGCAGACCCCAGCAACCATGGCCAGCAAAGGCTTGCAGGACCTGAAGCAGCAAGTGGAGGGGGCGGCCCAGGAAGCGGGTGAGGACAGCGCGCGACCTGGGGCACATACTGGGACCCCCGGGTGGACGCGGGGGTGGGGCCGGGGGCAGAAGCCTGGGGACTGCGCAGCCAGAAAGTCGGCGGGCGGTTCTGGCTAGAAAGGGCCCTCTCCTGAGCTGCAGGGACCTGGAAGGACGCCCACCCGGACCAGCCCGGGAATGATGCCCTGAGGGAAGTGGGAGAACAGCAGTGCCTGAGGAGTGGGGCGGGGTGGGGGGGGGGCGCTTTTGGCATTGCCAGAGCCAATCCGAGGCAGCTGCTAGGGCCGGGAGCGGCCCCACCCGGGCCCTCAGGGGAGAGTGACGGTCCACGAGGAGAGCGCGCTCCGCCACCACGCCCGATCTCTGCCCGCCAGGTCCCAGAGGCGCACGGAAACAGGATGGGACGGGTGGCTTCAGACTCCCACCGGGCTTTGTTTTGAGCACTCCCCGCCCTCCTCCGAAATACTCATTTCCTCTTAAGTCCTCAGGCAGAGGACCTTCCCACCTTCGTGCGGGCAGGGCAGGTCCCCAGTCTTAGTTTCCCCACCTCTGGCTCCTCCCCCCTCAGACCTGAGGTTACGCAGCTGGGAGCTGGGGATGGACTGGGGAGTAGGGTACGTAAGGAGACTTCAGCCCCATCAGCGGCAGCTCTTCCAGTCCCAGCTCAGCCTCCCTTGGGACTCCAGCTCCCAGTCTGTCCTACACATACCCCAGTCAACAGACAACACCTAAACCAACCCCCTCCTTCATCGGTGCCCCAAGGAAAGCCCACAGTTGCTCCTGTGAGGCTAAAATGGTACCAGGAAGCCTCTGTCTACACTACCCTTCCTTCTGGGCCTCACTTTCCCCATCTGTAAGCTGAGTGCAGAGTCTCCTTCCCTGTGGTCTTGACTGTGCTACGTCAGACAGAGACCCGAGGGACCTCTGAGCAGTAGACCCAGGGTCTGCCTGAGCCCTGTACCCCCTGGTCCCCAGGGTCTGGGTAAAGCAGAACCTTTCCTGTTCAACAGCAAGGATGAGTCAGATCTCTGAAGGCCAGAGCCACCTGTCTGTCTACCGAGCAGGTGGGGACCCACCTGAGCCCCTGGAAACCCTGTTCTTCACAGGCACAAACTCCGGTCTAGAGGAGATGGCCTGACTTTGGAAGTTTCCCCTACTTTCCACACTTCGTTTCCTAATGCCTTACGCTGCCTTCTCACGGAGGCACTGGCAGTCATTGCTTGTGTGCCCTCTGGGGAGAGGCACGGGAGAGGGGAGGTGGTGAGAGGGCCTTGCAAAGTAGAAGCCCCAGTGCTCTAAATGCGGGAATTCAGGCATCTGGGCCAAGCCTCCGGGGAAGTTGTTAAAGGCAGCAGGGTTCTCCCTGGGCTGTGCCCAGCAGTAGCCACAGCCCAGATGCCAATTCCAGCCTGGCCCAGCCCTGCCTTCCTTCCTCACTTGGATATTTTTGCAGCAATCCTGGAGAGGCAAGGGAAGCAGGCCAGAGGGGAGGAGCCCAGAGTTACAAATAAACAAGAACAACCTGGAGTCATGGAAAGGGCTCATGCCCCTCACTGAGTGGCCTTGGTCAAAGAACTTTACCTCAGTGGCATCCATCCCTGGGCCTGTAGGACAGACCACTCTAGAGAACAGATAAGGTTGGCAATGGTGGGGCCCCTGTGGTTGGTGGTATCTCAACAGGTATCCCACATGTCTCTGTTCTAGTGACGGCAGCTGGAGCAGCAACTCAGCAAGTGGTGGATCAGACCACAGAAACAGGGCAGAAAGGTCTGGTGGGGCTGGTGGGCAGGAGGGTGGACAGCCCCAGCGCGGCCCTGCCCTCCACCCAGCCCTTGCCCAGACACACCCTCTCCTCTGCAGACCCTCTACCAGCATTGCTTCCTGGGGAGGGAGACCCAGGCCAGGCTAACCCTGCAGGGCTGTGGTTCCCCAGGGCTCTGCACTCAACTGCCCTATCCTTTCCTTTCCCAGCCATGGACCAGGTTGCCAAGTCTACCCAGGAAACCATCGACAAGACTGCTAACCAGGCCTCTGAGGCCTTCTCGGGTTTTGGGAAAAAACTCGGCCTCCTGAAATGACAGAAGGGAGACACGGGTGACTCCCTTCCAGGCCCGGAGCTCTAGCAGGCTCTTGGCGGGCCACCTCATTAAAGCACATATGCCTACTCTGTGTCCACTTCATGCCTTCTCCCAAACTGGGCCCAGCCCTCCCTCACTTAGAGCAGAGGCTCAGGTATCCAGAAACTCAGCCCTGACGTCCAGAGTCCTGGCGTTCCAAATTCGGAAACCCAGACGGACTGTCCAAGAACTCATTTCCCACGTCTCTACCGTGCGTCCAGACTCCCCCTTATCCGAAGTTCAACCCCCCATCTAGATACTAGACCCTTTCCCGCTCTATTCCCCCTGCCCCCGATTCCAAAACCGCTCTCTCAGCTCCAGGAACCCGCCCCTTCCTAGGAGGGTGATACTCGGTGCCCATATCCTCGAGGAGCTCAGCTCTGGGCGGGGGGCGAAGGGTTCCAACGGCAGGGGCCTCGGGAACTTCTCCCAGTGAGCTAAGCCGGGGGCTGGGGGCTGGAAGCATCGAGGCATCCCAGGGCCAGGCGCCCTCGAGGACTTCAGGCGGCAGGAATTCTCGGGGAAGAGAGAGGACGCAGGGACAGCTTTTGGCCCGCAGCACCCTACGCCGCCCGCACGGTGTTTGTGCGACTGTCGCACCCGACGGTAATTCACGGGGCAGGACCGGGAGGGCGAGGACACGCCCCGAAGACCTGAGTCCCACCCAGTTGTGTTTGGCGCGGTCGCCAGGAGCTCCGCCCAAGACGCGGCCCCTGGGGAGGTGCCTGCGGAGCACGGGGCGGTGCACGTGGGCGCGGCGCACGTGGGCGTGAAGCGCTGGAACCCGGCTGTGTGCGTGCGCGCGCTAGGCCACTCCCTCGGGCACCTCTTCCCTTCCGGATCCCCCTGTACTTTCTGGCCCAGCGCAGCGGCCGACTTTATCGGGCAGGTACCCCCAGAGGGTCTAGAGTTCGCGCAAACCTTATTCCCTCCGACCTCCCCAGCACGTGTGCACGTGTCCATGCACGCCATACCAACCCTGGGTAAGTCCTGCTGACGGGTGACTCACTGTTGCCACAGGATAAGGCCCAGCCCTGGCGCCGGGCGCTGGCTGCCCTCTTCATCCGAACCCCCGCCACACCTCGGCAGGTGACGCCCCGTTCCGTTTCCCCACCTCCACGCCTTTGCACACACTATTCCCTCTGTCCGTAATGATCTCATCTCTTCTGGATGAGCATATACGTAGTCATGCCGTTTCAACTCACAAATATTGGCTACACAGCACTTCTTAGTTCTGGGGAGACTGGGGGAAAAAAACCGTCGTCTTTCCTTCACTCGCTGACTCGGGGCCGGCTTTCCCAGAGGCTTTCCAGACATGCCAGCAGGGGGCAGTGTCGTCGTTTCCACCCCTATCCCTCCCCTTCACACCCCCCAGGTGACCTTTCCCTTCTCCAATCTGAGATCCCTCCCAAGGAAGCAACAGGTATCCTCCCTAACCCTTAGCATCTCTCTCCCTCATCCTGGCCCAGTTTCATGCTTGGTTCCTGTTGCTGACTGTCCCCCAAAGAAGGGTTCAGCTAGTCTGCAAAATGGGCCAAGGCCTAAAGGGAAGGTCCTTGAAGAGATAACTGGGGTAATCTGGAGGTGCTTCCAGCATCTCCAGGAGCCCCTGCCCCCAGGAGAGGATGCCAGGGTTGGGAGAGACCACCTGGGGCCACAGCAGGAGGCAGGTGGGGCTGGACTGGCAGAGCCCTCACATTTTTCTGGAATGCATCCTTCCCCTCCCTGACTCAGGAGAAATTCCAATTGGAATCCAACAATCCGTCTTCATCCTGTTCTCCTTGTGA